AAAGGCTTCTAGCAAGCATCTCTTGATACCTCCTGTACGACTCTTGCTTCTCTAACCTAAACTTCTCATGGCATTTCTCTATAAACTTCTCCGCGAGCTGATCGATATTATTCTCACTCGCGCCATCATCTTCATCATCATTGCCATGCTCCTTCTCTTCAAGCCATTGAAGATATCCATCCATGTCATCAGTGCCTCCGGTTCGATCATTCAAAACCACCGAATTCCGACTAGAGTCATAGCACGCTTGACTCTCGGGCTCCGACATGGGCGTCACGTGGGACGAGGACATAATGCAACACATCTTAATGACATGAGAAATCTCCTTCCGCCTCCTCCTCCTCTTCTTCCTCCTTTCTAGCTCAACTTTATATCCTTTGTTGTTATCATCAACGACCTTTGTGTTGAGGAGGTCAAAGAGGGACTTAGCATAGGCAAGGGCTCGAATGACACGGCGACCGACTTGTTGAAAGATGTAGGATTGGACTAAGGTTTTGAGCTTGAGAGAGGTGGAGGGGATTTGGGATGCAGGGTACATGGAGGAGGCATGAAGAGTGGGGAGGGAGTTTGTGTGGAGTTGGTGAGCCATGAGGTTGAGCACGTTGGTGTGGTTGACCCTCTAGGGATTTATAGACTTGTTAAGGCTGCATCATTGCCAACGTTTGGCCGATGCAATGACAAGATTGCCCTTTGGTGGTAAAAGAAAATTTTGGATTCTGTATCTAATTTGTGTCATGGCTTTTGAGTTTCAAATTTTGAGGTTTCCCTCTAGCTTGTCACTCCTCATTATTAGTAGTGTTTAAGTTTGTACATCCATTTGTAATACAATTAATTAAGGTGATAATAAGTTTCCAAAAAGGTATATGGCTTGTTTTTATTTTGAGCTGAAGAAGCATGAAAAGCTTTCCTGCTCATTATATATATATTTATGAAAAAAACCATACATTGAATGTACATTCCTAACTCATCAAAAGGAGGCAAAGTAGAAGATAAAAAGAAAAAAACATGAGAGTCACCAACCTAGGCTAGGTTAACTTAAAAGGTCTCACATCACCAGTAAACGATTAAGTTACGAGGAAGTTTATAGACTAAAAAGAGTTTGAGGTGGAAGCTACTCCTCAGGATAACTTCCCAAAAGAAAGACCAGAAGGAAGACCAAGCCAGCAAGTGGACTAATCTGCGGAGAAGTTGTCTCCTACCTCAACTGCTGCTTTCTTCTTCGCTATTTCATCAAACTGCAACTTGATTGTTGCCCTTCGGATCCTTTTAGCCAACCTGTCGTCATGAGCACATGCCCAAAGGAGAGTGTATCTAGCCACATTAGCTGCAATAAGATCAGAATTTTGCTGTCTATCTCTAAAAATCAGAATTTAGCTGCAATATGGCTTGTTGTGTGTACATCATCTTACAATTAATGTATGCTGACATTTTGCTTATTTAATCACCCTTCAAAAATATTACTACGTATTCTACCCTTTAAAAGCTACAAAATGTGTACACCTACACCCTTGTCGTCAAGAATTTGATCACATATACTGTTAGTATAGTCTTGAGTTTTGGTATATAACTTTTTAAAGGCTTCTAAGTAAGAGAAACAAACTTAAATTACCAACTAATTAGGGGCATCAAATTTGTATTTAGGCTCATTGATTTTGATATTATCTTACTAATTATTAATTCCAAATCCAACTACATTTTGAAGATCAAGTTGTCCCAATTAATTGTGTACAAATATATGAAAAACATATTTCAACTTAGGGACCGTTAATTATCGACTTTGATTGAGGATTGAAAGGAGACTTTCTTTGTGAAAGTTATTGAATGTTTGCATAAGGTTTAACCATGGAAATTTTGAACCAGGGAGAGGAGGGGGAAGGAGAGTGGGTTCCTCTGACATTAGCATATTTTTAGAGAATCTCTATGACAAAAGGAGAAACAAAGCAAAGGAAGAAACAGTTGGGGAACCCTAAGCACTTTAGCAGTAGTACTAGAGGTATACACCATCACATGATAGAGACACATCACAGTTCTTTAATTTCTTTTCTCCCCCAGTTTTCCAATCTTTGAACTCAAAATAAAATTACAAAATGTCCAAAGCAGTCCGAGACGATATTGGTTTACTGTAACATTCAGATTCTCTTGATAACTACCTCTCACTTGTTGCCTTGGAAATTGGAATCTGACTAAGTATATAATAAGCAATAATCAGATTTAGGATTGTATTTATCCCTCTAAGGATAAGAAATAAAAGTAATTTGTTTGATCATTTTGTCTTCTTCCTTCAGATGCTTGTTCTAGTTTTCCTGTTTGCAAAAGGAAAAGGAAAAGGAAAAAAGAATAGGGAGCAAATCATCCACACTGAAATTGATGCTGAGAGTTTTACTGACTAATTTATAGGTCCTAGATCATTGGTTATCAATGTTCTAGGGCAGAAGCATATTTGTAACTTTTGGACCATTCTTTTTTCTCACCTTACTTTTGAAAAGATAAAGAGTGATGATATAGCATTAAAATCATTAATTAAGTACTACTGTAATCTTTTCATACATTAGTAATTAGCTCATACTCTAAATGTTGTGTTTTTGAGTGAAGTGGTCCTTCATATGGTATCAAATTCATTAATTAAGCACTGATATAAATCTTTTCAAATGCTCAGGATTTTAGGAGTATCTCATGTCCAAATCCCTTATTTTCAATTATAAAGTATATTTTATTTATCTCTTGGTTCTAAATTTCCACAGGAAATAGAAAATTGAGTTTTTTTAGAGGTAAAAAGTTAAGATGAAGTGTGTTGTATTAGTGTTTGCTTCATACATATACATTATTAGCCTATATCTCAAAATCTGCAACTTTATAAATTAAACAATTTTGACTGAAAGCAATTTAAGGGCAGTCATCCTACTTTTGTTTCTTTGAACAAACAAAAGTAAAGGTGGACTTAAATGTTAGAGATTTTATGAAGATTAATCTGCGGAATTAAACACTAAACGAAGAATGGTACCAATGAAAATATCACAAGCAAGCAAATACCAAAATTTAACGTGGTTCGGCAAATCGTACCTACGTCTACGGGACAATCCAGAGAGAAATATTTTACTATGAATCAAGAGTACAATCCCTCCAAATTGCACCTGAACTTGATAATTAAATCACAAGAGAAAGATACAAAGTTACCTCTAGGGCACCAAATGTTGTGCGCAGCGGAAATTTCGGCAGCACTTCGGCAGCACAACAAGAGAGATTAGATCGATAAGAATTCCCGTCTCACCAAGGAAACAAGAATCTGAAGCGGATATCTCAACCAAGTGAGATATCGGCTCTTCCTCTCATCAGTTCTAGGACTGACCTGTCGAGGGATCCTACAAGCTATTACAAATCACGACAAGAACACAACTTTTTACGTGGTTCGGCAAATAGCCTACGTCCACGGGGCAAGGAGGGGGAGATCTACGTTCGGCAAATAGCCTACGTCCACGGGGCAAGGAGGGGGAGATCTACTATTAGAGGGAGAGATATAACTGGGGTTTATAATCACTCAATCTAAACCCTCTCAAACAAACTCTCAAATCCCTCACAAATATCTCTCTACAAAAGGATGCAAAAAACCCTAAAAGGGACTACACAAAATCTCCTTCGCACAAGAAAATACTCAGCCGCCAAAGCTCCTTGCACGCGCTTTGTTCTTGCACCCCGCAGCCGCCAAACAAATCAAGCCTTGCACTGCCCCCTTGCGTGCTTGCTCTGTTTTTTTTTTCAGCCGCACAAAAGCACCCACAGCCTCCTTAGCACAACTTTCACAAAACCCTAGGTTCATACATTTATACAAAGGACAAACGGGTGGGCCTTGGTCTGCGTCCGGTTTTTGCTTTGAATGTGCTGCTATCTATTCATGCTAGTGGCCCCCACATCACGTGTGTTCACAATTCTCCACCTCGGCGAAGTTTTCACAAAACTGAGCCGACACCAAGCAAAACAAATGCCTCACTTGTTGCATCCAGTACGCCACGGCAACAGACTCATGACAACGGACTCCATCCACAACAAGTCGAGACCCAAACGGGAATGCGAACACTCACCCAAAACAACAGTGTCTACTCACCAAATCAAACTGAGCCTACACCGACTACACCAAATGCCTCACTTGCTGAGACCCAAATGGGAGTGCGAACACTCACTCCAAATGTCGATGTCGCTCACCAAATCGGCTGCATCATAAAGACTGCCTACGTATCCTCTTGCCTAAGGAATCAAGCCTTCACGTAGTTCACCCAAATGGCCTCCAAAGGCCCTCAAACAAATAGAAAAGTCTGCAACTCTTCTTCAATATCACTAAACGATCTGCAACTGATAGCACTCCCAATAGCTCCAAATTGAGACAAATCAAACACCTCCATCTGAGGTGAACCAATGGCCGTATCCAAATTAAGTCCATCAGCTGCAATCGAATCCAACTCATCATCTGCATCCAAATCCAAATGATCCCCAATCTGTGTCACCTCAGCTGGAATCCCAAATGATACAGTATGATCTGGAGTCTCCACCCAACGTGGAGTAGCATCACTCTCCACCCGCTGCGATGTCCCAAAGATCTGATCACCACTCTCTACCTGCCGAGAGTTAAACGTGACATACCTGCTCAGAACAAAGTCAGTCGCCAATACCTGATAATCAAACACGCCTCTGAATCCCAAATGTGCTATCAGATCAAATCTCACATCCACGATGTGACCAAGTGCTGGGTAGCCAAACATCCGACGCAACCCAAATTCTGAAGCAGTTCCACCAGATCCAAAATCTCTACATGCAGCAGTTGGCAACCTATACATAAGACAGCCCAAACATGTCGTAGCCTGCACACCAATGCCATTGCTCGACATCAAACGCCGATCCTCCTCCAGAAAGGAACAGCTGCCCGAATCTGCCATCTCGCCTCGTCGCCTCAAAATTTCCACACCAATGAAGTGTCTCCTATTGCCGTGAGCTCGGCACAAATACAGATATAGGTCCCTCTTGTACCTCCTTCTAACATCAGACTGAAGTACCTTCACCTTTCTGCCAATACACTTCCTCCATTTGTTGCGGGCTTCTAGGACTTCACACCAACGGGACTTGGTTGCAACCCACCAATGCCTAGAGCAATCCCCAACTGCGGAAACTACATACCTATTACCTCTCAATGATGCTCCCTTGGAAGGCTCCCGAATGCCTGAATGAACACCCCTCAGAAGACCCCTCGAATGATGGATAGAAGTGCCAAACTCCATCTCGGTCTTCTCGCTCATACCAATGGGTTCACAGGACTTCAAACTGCAGGTCAAAGCACTCCTCAACAACCTATGCACGGGCCACAGTCTAGCCGAATCTGATGAAGTCGTCATCTCCCTATCAATCTCTGTGCTTCCGAGCAAATAATACAAATTGCTCCTTCTGACGCCCTTCATCACAATCATGGACCCCGATGTGACCTTCAAGCGAGAATCCGCTAAGGTTACTTTATAGCTGTAGGGTAAAAATTTGATTCTTCCGAAGAAAGGAGTTTCGTTTGTATTTATAAGAAAGCTTATTACAAACTAACAAATCAAATGTTTACAACAGAAGCAGAGGGAAGGCCCTCTTTATTTTTGTGTGGGGACTTTAGGTGGCTATAGGACGCTTCGCTCGAT